CGCTGATCCTAGTGGGCAACTTCCGCAGGTCCTAGTGGGCAACTTCCGCAGGTCCTAGTGGGCAACTTCCGCAGGTCCTAGTGGGCAACTTCCGCAGGTCCTAGTGGGCAACTTCCGCAGGTCCTAGGGCCGCTTCTGCTACGCCGTCTGCCGACCGTCAACCATTGGTAATATTTTATTTTTATTTTATATTATATTATAACATGTCGTCCCTTATTGCAATATACTATATAAATATCTTTAATCTTAAATATAATATACTGTCGTTAGTTTAGTTTCTAATGTTATTTATAGGTATTTTTATATTTTACACTTTATTACTTTTTAATAATATTATAAACTTGTGACACTTCGGTAATAGTTATATTTTCTAATTTTATTTTATTTAAAATTATAGTTCATTATGTTTTTTCAACACAATTTTTATTTGCATCAAATTTTGACTAAGTTGACTTAATGATTTATAATAATATAAATAAATATATTTTTTTTTGTACCACTTATATTTTTTAGTCTAAATATTTTTTCCTTTCTTAAATTTGAATAATACATTATATTTTATTTTTTACTAAGGACTTTTTTCTATTTTTACATACTCAGGGTTCTTTTTCATTGTTTATTCTAATTTAAATATTTATATAGTATATTGCATTTTGACTTTAGGCACCTATATCTATAGTATAACACTTAGATTAAGATTGCATATAATATCTATTAAATAGTACTTAAGTATATTTTTAGTGTAGGTACCTGAAGAATGATATTTTTACTTTTTAGTTGGCAATAAAATTGGTATAACAAAAAAAAATAATTCCTTTGACAAGAATTTGTATAAACCGAAAATAATAGTAAAGAATATGAAATTATTAACTGTATGATATTATGCACCTGTAGTTATTTAAAAAAAAATATTACATTAATATATTATATATTGTTTTGATCAAAATATAAAATATTTTAGTTGCTCCGATAATTAATTAAGGTAAATGTATAGATTATGAATTTGTATATAGGTAGTTGATAAAAAAAAATAAAATACATTTTTACTAAATTTATCGGTTGTAAATGTATTTAAGTAATAAAATATAAAAAATTAACTAACCGGGACTTTTCTTAAATTTTAGTAATTTCACTTAATTCACATATAATCTATATTATTACACCATCTAAAATGCTTCGAATTTATTATCACACTAATATAGTGGGTAATCTATCACCTAAAATACAATTCTCACTGTATATTTAATTATATACAATACTTATATATTATGTACCTAAATATAATTATACTTATTCATATATTTTCTCCCCAGTAATTATGTACATATTATCGTATACTAAACAAAATTTTCGGTATCACTACTTGTTCAGTTATCTGAAATCTACGCTTATTTTATTACAAAAAATTGATGTTACATTTACCCGAACTTATTCATTTTAATAATAATATATTAATATAAAGTCCGTGAGTATTATATGATATAATAAAAATAATTGGATATAGGACATTTAATTTATTGTAAATTATTGTAATAATTGTACAATAATGCCTACCTATTTGAAATATAATTACTATAAGCGATAATAATTATTAAATAATTTTAAATACCTATAGTATATAATAAATTATTAATACGTTGTTATATTTTATCATAACATAATATTGTACCATTATGTTGTTACCCATTATCGTGCATCGATGCAGTCGATCGCGTTTCTTTGTTTGATTATATTTTAATTGTCATGACAATGAGTATTAAGGGGGCGTCTATAATATATAGATAGGTACTTAATACTTTCGCTTTTCCTAGTGGCAAAGGAGGGGGGAGGAAACATGTGATCGGTACACACAACTGTTGAAACCAATGATTCTATTTACCCGTAGTAGTTCGAAGAGGGTTGGGAGAGAGGGGAGATTGGTGTCAGCGCAGGCGTTACACAGAATAGAGGGTGTGGCGGTGGAGCTTAGTGTGAGGGGGTTGAAAGTTGGAGGGGATGGACTGAGTGGAGGGTGGCTTGAGGCTTGGGTGGCCACCACCGTGGGAGTTCACGTCTCGCACCCTACAGACTTACCCCTCCACTCCCACCTTTTCATCATCAAGCCTTTATCTACCATAGCGTACTTTGCGATTGCGTTGTACACTTGTACCCACTTTTTACCCAGTTTCGGTATGGATCTCTTCCAGTACAGTCTCGCGATATTATTTCTAAATTTCTATACCATGACATTAATATTATTATATTAAGATATCACACCCGCATGTGTATACATAACATAGCAAAAACTATTTTTCGCTGGACATCTTTACCCTCTTTGTATTTGTAGCAGAATTACTAAAATTCCACAACGCATAGAGTAAAACTTTATCCGTTTCGGGGATTTTTTTATCATTTGGATTACATAAATACATTTAAAGTTATCAGTTCGAGAACATTAGGTTTTTTTTCATTTAATTATTAAAAATTATTGGTTAGAGATATAAATAAAAAATGAAAACACTAAGACACCGATAAAGTTCCACCCTATGCGTTGTGAAATTTTGGTTATTCAACTAACATACAGAAGGAGTACAGTGTTGTCCCGTGCGTAACAGTTTTTGTTAAGTGTACATTTGTAAGATGGAGACAACACATGCGGGTGTGACATCCTCTTAAGTGCTTAGTGACCTTTATAGTTTCATATTTTCTATATAATTTGACTGCTGCCGTCGTTTGAATTTATAACAATATTAATACTATAATATTACTATCACAGCCTGTCTACTCTATATACGACTACAATATGGTGGACTTGGTCAATATCGTGTTCATCTTCATGTCATGTGTTAGCTGTATATATAACTTCGACTCCTACTACGACAACGCCTTTGACATTTCAACTAATGGGGTATCAAATGAGGAAACACAAATGCCACTTGACCCACTTATGGCATACCTATATTGGTGTTGGGAAAACAGTTTTGTCTCTAAGGTTTTAATGACGGGGGTGAAGATGTTCGAAATTGTGTTCCTCTTGTACGTTTTTCGAGGGGTTTTGATGGTGATATTCGACGTTTTGGAACAACCGCTCCACCAGTTACAACAGCAATGACAAGGCCGGTAAACACTTTTAGTCCACCATCGTCATACAGCTGGTAAAATTATTTATTTTTAATATAATACCTAAGTTATAACATTATTAATATTACTTATACGGACTGTTATAATTACCGAACAGGTTGTAGGCATACATCTATCATCTATCGAAATTGAAAACATATACATCGACATCACTGAATTATTTATTTTAACACTAAAAAGTTTAAAAAATCGTTTGTAGTGATTATGCTTTATCGCGAGTACCTATTATGTTACTGATAAAATTGTCATACATTTATCCTAATACTAATATGTTTTATTGCTGCATCGTTAACCTATATTTAATTCTCATACTGAATTTAATTCAAACATTTTAATTTTAAACCTATATGTTACAAAAGTACAATACTGTTTTATTAATATATATTTATATATTATATTAAAGGCACAATAATTATAATATAATACTATAGTCTATTGGCATTTATAATTGTTTTACAAGCATTACATATTTATAAACTTGCACAATAAACCAATATGGATTTTACGATTAGGTACCTATGTATAATAATATAATTTAATATATATTATTATATCGTCTTTCATTTACAATTGATTGTATTATTATTACAAGAGTTAACTTACTCGCTCGTACCTATTTACTTGTATATAATATTGTTTCTATGAATTTTATATAATGGTTATCGGCTTTATATCGACTAGGTTAACAGTGTATATAATGAAAGATTTATAAAATCTGGTGGTGAATTCCGTAATATTAAAATGGTTCAACCATTATAGTTGTGATTTGATACGAAGTCTTGAGTTAACACTGTATAAAACATATTCTTTGCTGTTATCGCAGATTATTTACTTAACGAATAATATATGATGATCCTATACAATCGATCATCTAATCATATGCGTGTGCCTGTTCATAAATATTGCATATTATAATATATATATATATATAATAGTATATAAATCAATGTTTTAATATATTAGCTGTGTAATAATATTACCTACAAGTCAAATAAAAAATATTTTCTCTTGAAGCTAAATACCTAGGTGTATATAAGCGATAGACTTATTATAGTACCTAAATATACCTGTTCTGCCGTGTTCAATAATACTCCCAACCTAATCGATTTCCGCCCTACGCAGTTTCTCGCGGTGTGTTATTCGGCGAGGTTACTGTTTTTGTGGTGCGATCGTGCGTAAGGTCGTCCGTGAAAGGTAGAGTGGTGAAAGAAGGAATGAAGATTGGTGGGAGGTCCCTGGGCAACTGTTGCGTTTTGTCACGACTCCGATTTATTATAACAGTCGGAGAGATCGAGGGATCGTGACCGTGTCGAGGGGAGGAATCCGGATAAATTCAAGAGGATAGTGGGGAGGGGAGTGTCCTACCGTTATAAACATCTAAAATCTAGAGGGGCGGGCGTGACCGCTAGAGGGCAGTAGCGGCGAGTCTTCGAAATCGATCGAGCACCCGCGCCCGGTGCCACACAGTCGCGCCGTTTCACTTTCATTCGTATTGTCGTCTCTGTCATTCAAGCGCCTTCTACACGAACGTTCCACCACCAAATCCCTTGCTCACTTGTCGCTCGCACGTACACGGCACACACTTTGTTCGATTTTTTTGAACACCGACGCCACGCGTTAACCGGTCCTACCACCGACAGCAGCGAAGCCACTGTATTCACTCAGGTACTGATTCAACATCACTCAGTCGTATAATATATTAATATAGTCGCGTCCACGAGGGCACCGTAGATGTTTGTGTAGATCGCACCAGTTTGATTTATTTTACCGTCCATACAATTCGTGTTAGAGGTAGGTGTATGGTTTAGTTCTTGCCAATTTCCAATTGACAGTCGATTAGGAATCAAAGTTATCAACTGTGATATTTTTACCCAAGGACGATGGATAACCGTCGAATTATCATTATTCGTCAATCCATCTTCTCAGTAATCTGGGATCACTTTCCATTCGTGTATCCGGCCGTAACTTTATTGACATACATCGAAGTACAAATCCACCTTAACGAGGTATTCTGGAAGCTATTGAGTGATATATATAATACGAGAACTTTTCCATTGATCAGCCGAAGTCGTGCCCACGATACCCAACTGACGGCGGTGATTCAAAACGGTTTGATCATGCTTTCACTGTTGATCACAGGGGCCGTATTGCATGCGATCTTGTTCTGCTTCTCTGTCTTCGACATTCGTCCCACTGATATCTTGGACACGGATTCTGAATCTGACTCTGACGAAATATATCATAGTGACAGTTATCACTCCGAAGATGAAGAAGAATACGACGCGGATGACGAATCTGATAACTTTCTAGCCTTTATCTTTGAAACCGTATTCAATGTCTTATCCCGTGATGACGATAACAACAACAGTGACGAAGAGGACAGCAACAGTGATGAAGAAGGCGGCCACATAAATGAAGACGTCTACCGCCACAGCCACGACGTACTCGGTGTCGGTGTCATTGACCAAAGGTGGGCAAGTTAATGAAAGTAATTTATTATCTAATCAACTAAAATATACTTATACATTCAAAATAATTTTATCAAGAAAATAACAGAAATGTTTATATTGTTATAGTACTTGGTTGTTTTTATTTTAATTTAATATTAATATTAACGTATAAAATCATAAAAAAAACAATTTCAAAAAATGTTTAACTTGATGGATTATTTTTAAATCAACTGAGAAAAGCTAAGTTATTTCAACTGTAAATTAGCCTAGTTAAGTTCATAAGTAGATTAAAAAAATAAGTAACCCATTAAGTTAATAAAACATTAAAAAATTAACTTTTTAACTACCTAGTTAATGTCCACCTTTGACAATAAAACAACTATTTAATCTACGTCGCACGGCCAGGTACAATCGTTATCACCGACTTACCTACATATAATGTGGCAATACGTTTGTCAAAATCATTCGTTTTTTCTTGCGGATTAGGAAAAAAATATTTTATGTACTTATACTTGCAATTTACATGCATTTTTTTTAACAAAATATATGGCATTCAGGTATTTAGGTTTTTAGGTTCAATATCGGTTTTTCGTACGATATTATTGTATATATTATGTTTATTTTCAATACTAAAGACTTGTAGGTATACGTTATTAACACTGCTCTATTCATAACAAAATCGATGTTAATATATGTCGAGAAACGGCTTTTGTTTTTTTGTTCAAAACGCGTTTATTGCATAGTCAATAACTTTTGTCACATTATTCTGTCACATAGGTATAATAATATGCAAAATCATTGGATTTTCATACTTTATCATGCGTTTGCATAACTGGTGAAATTATTTCAAAAAATTCAATTTTCATAGTACGAATGTAGATTATAATTTCAATAATAACCGTAAGCGTATTATACCCATAACTTGTGAAATTTCGAAATCCAAACAATATCTAGGCATTGTTATAATAATAGTTATCATAATCACTAAACATTGAGTATACAGTTATATAGTTATCGCAGTGGTGACAAATGTGTATACGTTAGATTGTATTTTAGTTGGGATGTGTATTTGTGAGTAATTATTCTATGATTTAGGTAGGCATGTACATTTGATATTATTTATAATTGTTTGTTGCTGACTGTGTAATTATTAACATTAATTAATAGTCATTAATCATATTATTAATAAAATATAATTAATAATTATGTGTTATATATACACTATTAGTACTAGGTACACGTGTATGATATTGACTAGTTAATAGAGATTATTGGCAATACGAGGTTTCATAACTGTTATAATAACATTTATTATTTCATAATTGTTCATAACCTTACTGCGGGTACTTAGTCATCAACTTCACGAAGGTATAAATTACCATAAATTATTATAGTAACCTCTTCGCTCGAGTACCAATTTTGAGTTCAATATGATTTAATAATTAATTATTAAGTTGATACATAATATAATATATACTATATACCATTCATAAATTACCGACATAATTACTTTATTTCGTATAGCTATAGGTACTGTAAATACACTATATTAATTATTACTGTGATGTACAAAAAACTTCTAAAATGTCTCGAATTTACCGTTATTAGTATGTTACAGATCAAAAAAATACCAACCAATAACTTTAATATGAATACATATATTTTCTGTAAGATATAACAATCTTGAAAAATATAAACATAAGTACAAACAATTTAACATTTAATAAAAATAAACTTTTAAATTATATAGCTCAATCCAATTTAAATAATTGTACCTAAAATTTGTAAAAAACGCTTTGAATATCTTTAATAAAGGTGACATAGTAGAAGTCAAGATCATTCTTTTGACATTAAAACCATGTTTTCACAAACGAAGTTTGTGTATTGGGCTGTGTGTCAATGCCTGTTTACGCTATTAAATCCACATTTTTCTTCTCATTTCAATAAAGCTTAGTACAAAAAAAACCGGACATATTTGTATATAGTCATTAAGTGGATACCACATTTTTACGATAATATCAGTTTGTAAGCGAATTATGCGTGTACCAATAATTAAATGTAAATTAAAAATGTTTATAGCTCACTTAAAAACTGAATTATCGTAAAAAAAATGTCCAACAAAACACAGATAATGTTTTTTCCATCAAGTTTCATAATAGGTCGATTCACTATAATTTTCAAGCAAACGGCATAAAACGTGAGTTTCTGAGAATAAATTTGTTATGTTAAGCGTTTGTAAAACGCTTACAACACATGCGGGTGAGGCGTCATCTTAATCGTTTAAAATCGTTAAAAAATAATTATCAACATAGATAAGTACTTTATTATTTTCTTTATACTTTATACACTTAGATACAATAGATACGTCATAGATACAATCATTTACAAGTTTACAACAAACATAATATAATATATCAAGCCCTATTAGGTAAAAGGGATTAAGCGACAATTTTGGCGAAAATGAGATATTATTATTGGTATCAAAATGTTTCTAAAATTCTAACGCATCGATCTGTAAAATGGCTAAGCGACAATATAAACCTAAGCATGTCATTTTGTAATTTAAAGATTGGGTGAAAGCGACATGTGGTTTTAATAACTTCTAAATTGATCGTAAGTCACATTAATTTCGAAAAAAATACGTAAGCGACTTTGTTGGATATCCGCACGACAAAATGTTTGTTGTAAGCGCCGAAAGTGAAAAGTGTAAGCACCATTGAGCTATACTCGAACATTTATTCTATTGTAAGCGACATATGTTACACAATTCTAAAAATATCATTTTTATTCTGTAATTGTATTTTCAAAATAATTTTTTTTACAACTACACATCTGATTTTCATGAAAATCCATCAGATATTCGATATTAAAAGTTTTTTTTAGTTCCTGTAAAAAATTAAAATTTCGCTTACGCCCTTTTACCTAATAGGGCTCGTATTGTATGAATCACAATAATCATCGTTTATTCTGATTCGAGAACAGTGCTATAATACTACTGTAATAGCCTATATTCTAACGTCGTCGTGACCCAGATGTTAACATTTCCACTAACATACTACCTATTAGGTATCATGAGTATAGTGCGTAGTATAAAATGTATACTACACAATACGCACAGATTTAATATTTAATGTATTAATATATACCAATTTTATATTTTCGATTACAATACAAACAGTGGCAATATTTCGTATCGTCGTCCTCACTATCAGTGACCGATGTTGGTAGCTTTGTTGTTTCCATTGCTTGTTTCTTGTGCATTCTAAAACCGTACCAAAAATGTCACATTCTCACGGTCCCTGCAAGATAAACATCTCCCTGTATAATAAAGTAAAAAACAAATCCTTTTATGTCGTTTTCTTGTATTTATCACTTAACAATTTCTACCTGGAATGCAGACCATAATATTATATCTAGTGAATGAAGTGTCTGCCACCAAAACCCAAACGATAAAATACCTAAAATAGTTTACAAAATTGTAATGCTACTTTAAAAATATAAAAAGCTATGTAAATATCTATAAAATAAACCCATAAAAAAATGTCCTTTTTACCAATGAAATAAAATACTATAACATATTAGTTCATTCGAACCTAAACTCGCTGATAAGTAAAAAATATAAAATTTAAAAAAAACTTAACATCTTTATAGGTAACTATAAATGAAACTACAATACTAATTTTAAACTACGGACATTTTATTTAAGCGCAATATAATATGTATAATGATTAATATCATCTTTACATATTATATAGCGTAATATAATAGAACACTGTTTAGTTAGGTTCGATTAAAAACGCCTACGATGGTGTATATTATCGTTTCATGACCTTTCTGTACGGGCGGCGTATTTTGCAAATGTGGGTACACTCAGAACCGCTCTTCTATGATTGGTTCATTTGAATTTCGCGCTTTTTTTTTATCACTTTATAATATTACATCATATCATATTATTATTATATTATCATAAAATATAATTTTATATTAGCATTTAGCATACATATCATATTAAAATAATATATTATATTATATTTTAATTGTTCTAAATAATATTATATTATACTATATTGTCTATATATTATAATATGATTTAATATAATTACATTAAAGCATTTAATATTTATATACCAAATATTATAGGAGGATTTTTTAAATCACCTATTGAATAGGTACCTATTATAAACAGACTAAAATCTTGTAAATTAAATAATTTTTATTAATATTTTTTAAAATATAATATAATATATTATTTTAATATGATATGTATGCTAAATGCTAATATAAAATTATATTTTATAGATTTAGATAATAATAATATGATATGATGTAATATTATAAAGTGATAAAAAAAAAGCGCGAAATTCAAATGAACCAATCATAGAAGAGCGGTTCTGAGTGTACCCACATTTGCAAAATACGCGTACGGGCGTTGACATTTAATTTTATTACCGTACCGTGCGCTGTCCAGAGTCCTATTTGTCTAGCGTTATCAACATTTATTGATGAATATATTGAACTACGATCATGTCATTCGCGCCATGTGAAGTGTAAACACCTAAAGAAGTATTCTTAAATTTAATTGTTGTTTAAAAATATACATGAATTTAGAATTGTAATTAATAAATTATATCATATAAAAAAATTGTTATGACTTCACAATAAACTAAAGTTTCTAAAGCTTCTATAAGTTTCTTATCTGGATTTCCTCTGAGTTAATTTACCATTAATTAATATACTATGAGCACTAATATTAACAACCTATTTCATTGTTTTGAAATTTAACACTAAATTTTTAAATTTTTAAATTTACACAGCAGTGTTCAAAATGTCTCAAATGCCATTCTCCACTAATACCTAATTAATATAAAATATAACTAGGTAATTATATTTAATACATTGAAATTAATCTAAATCTGTTTTGATGTTCCGATTAAGACAGTCAACTAATTTTACAACAAAATTACCATGCTATATAATTATATAATTATATTCATATTTATTTTTGATAATTCAAAAATAT